GAGTTGGAGTCAGATTGTCGACAGCTTTTGGAAATGTTCAGGTGTCAATTTCCACCCGATAATGAGATGGAAATAACAAACTTCACCATTAACTCATTGGCTGCCAAAGACGTGTATAGAGGTCTTTTATGTTTTTAACGAGAGTGTCTGGGGGACGATCTGCTAAAGCTTGTCCGTAAATATGGGCTTCTAGACAGAGTATGTAGTAACAAGTTGACCCTCTAGGGGGCAGTGCCACTTTTGATGGGAGCATAGACTGTAGGCAAATAAGAAAAAGGGAACGGTTCTATGAGAGAACATGTCGCCGGTGAGACGCAAGTCCAGGAAGAACGGAATAAGGTAGAAACACATTTTTTTTCCTGATGAAAGAAGAGAGTCTACTCTTTCTTTTGGTGTGTTCGGTGTTTACATAGTCATAGCACAAACTGTTCTGTGGCTTTTGAAAAATCAGTCAAAATGCTCAAAAAACTCTGGCAGTATGGGACTCTGTTCTGAAAATGGCTGCCAGTCAATGAGTTAAAAATGACCAAATAGGACCCAGACAGAGGGGCACAGAACAGCCTCTGAACTGCCTCACAGGTGGAAAAAAAGGAAATCAGCTCAGCTGAACTTTTGCTCATTGGTGCAAAAAGCATTCGGAAGTTTGAGAAAGTTTAGGCTGTGGTTGGGGATAATAATCCCTCTTTTTCTGCTGAGTATCTCCTTAATTGGGTCATTTTACTGGGCTGCTTGGTAACAAATAGGCACAGCAGCCACTTCTTGGTTCAAGCATTGAGCTCACCTGCTTGTTAGTTAGAAATGGCCGTCATAGGATGAAAATACATACTTTCTATTCTGTTATCGGACTTTAACACATACAGTGGGGGAAATAAGTATTTGAGCCCTTGCTGATTTTGCAGGTTTTCCCACTTACAAAGAATGCAACGATCTATAACTTTAATCATATGTACATTCTAACAGTGAAAGACAGAATCCCAAAGAAAATTCCAGAAAATCACATCATATGAATTTATAAAAATTGATAACCATCTGATGAGGAAAAATAAGCATTCTTTGTAAGTGGGCAAACCTGCAAAATCAGCAAGGGCTCAA